AGGCGTATTTACGGAAAACAAAGAGGCTACAGAGACCTTGGCCGCGAGGTGGTGCAGGTCATTTTTTTTTCTTTACCTTATCCAGGCTGTCTGGGTGCTGGGAGTGAGGGGAGTCAGGTGACGTTGGCTGAATGTTGAATGTAAATATTGGTCGGTTCCGTGAGGGAACTCTGTATGTGTAATTATATATATATATATATATATATATATATATATATATATATATAATATTATACATATATATATATATATGTGTGTGTGTGTATGTATATATTTAAAGAGAGAGAGAGAATGTGTGTATGTATATGTACTCTACATATATTTACACACACAATTCAGTTCAGTTAGATTTGCGAAGACAGGCTTCGCCCGGGTTTTTTCACACACGCAGCACACACACATATATTTATGTGCGTGTGCTTATAATTACACACACATGTATAAATATGTATGTATATATATACATTTATATCATATGTACTGTATATACTCACATATGTATATGTATATATATTCGTATGTCCATCTATCAATATACATATATTCCTTTTTAATTATATTCTCCGTGAATGATATTCATTTTCATTCATTATCACTCTTACTTTTGACCATCACGTACATAAGGGACATTTTGAATACGAATAAATGTGTTCCTATTTTATTTTTTCGACCTCCATTATTAAAGGATGAAGAATACAGCGATTGTATTGTATCTGTACTTAAATTCAGTCATCATGGCAGTTCGTTTGGCTTATATCCGAAAACATCAAAGTCAAATTCATAAATTTTGAGAATTCTTTCCATTAAATCCTTTGGAACGTTTTTAAAGTAGGCGAGATCATCGCTGTCGGTTACGTTCGCGTGTTCCTTTGTCCTGTGTTTGGCGGGAAGTCGGAACTCTTGCGGGTATCCTACGTCTTGCAGAAGGACCTCGGACTCTTGGGCAATCGTCTCCAGGTGAAGGATGTACTGGTAGTCCTGTCTGCAAGGGACGCACAGCTCCGTGCAGGGCGTCCAGTGGCTATCCAGAACGCCCAGATCGTTCGACCAAACGACGAACTCCAGAAATTCGTTGAACGAGAAGGAAACATTTCCGTAGCGGGTCTTCAGCTGCTCCGTCATGTTCCCGTAGGCGAAGACGACGGCGTCTTGCAGCCCCATCTGCCTCCCTACGACGGCCATGTAGGTGCCAACGAATTTATCCTGCTCGCTGAAATCGTTCTCCCTCGTGATCTCCACGTGGTCGTCCTTCACCACGTGATGTCTGCTTATGAAGTCGAACACCTCCACGTCTTGGCGCAGCATTTCCTCGAAGTCCGACGACGCAGCCACGCGCCCCGAGGAAATCAGCGCCGGCAGCCAGTAGCCGTACCAGTAGTAATTCCAGTTCGCCTCCGAACCCGTTCTCTGCTTCCAGCTTTCGTTCGAGTCACTGATGGCCTGTCCGTTCAGGAATCGGTCTCTGGTTGGAAGGCAAGAGAAAAGGGAAACGTCGATAATTAGGGGAAAAAAGTAAAAAATGAAAGTACAAAGAACGGAAGACTGAAGACCGTAACTACTAATAACAAGAATTTTCAGATCCGAATTTTAAGTGGTTGTGAAAAGACTGTTCTGAACAGTAATAGCAATAACAGTAATAACAACAATATGGACAAGAACAACTTGCACTTGTACCTTTCATAATATACACAGAACTCTGCAATGTTAGCTATGCTCATAACTAGGGCGTTGATGTGAAAAGAGGCAATTCCAGTACAAATCACCCTAACTTCCCGATATTACATCACAAAAATCTACATTGTTTCTTGTGAATTTCTTTAGTGAATGGTTGATATCGGACTACACTTCCCTTACCTGTATGCGGACGCCAGCCGGGACAGCGGATGCCTGACCAAGATGGCGGAAGCCGGCTTAAGGTTAGGGAGAGTCTGCTCCTTGAGGCGGTTGTTCAATTCGCGCCACGACGTCGAGCCTATCTGGGGATGGAACATTATATATATATATATATATATATATATATATATATATATATATTATATATATATGTGTGTGTGTGTGTGTGTGTGTGTGTGTGTGTGTGTGTGTGTGTGTGTGTGTGTGTGTGTGTGTGTGTTAATATAATGGTTAATAATGGTTACAATAATAATAATAGTAATAGTAAGAATAATAATGATAATGAGGATGATAATAATGGTGATAATAATAATAATGATATTAGAAATAATTATAATTATGACTGATGATGATGATGTTGATGTTAATGATGATGATGATAATGGTAATGATATAAATTATGGTAATGATGATGGTGATAATGAAAATGATGATAAAAGATGCTGACGTCGTAACAACACAAACTAAAAAAAGGAAAAAAAAAGAAAAGAAAATGAGAACCAAAGAACAGGAAAAAAACCCAGCATCTAACCTTGAACGGCACGCACACCCTGAGCGGCCCCGGAGCTCTGAACGTAAGGTGAAGGCGCCACGGCAGAGAGAGGAACCTGTCTTTTAGGTGAAGTCGCCGACATCTCTCCCGCAGGTACTCCCGTCGCTCTCGGAACACCTGGTGTAAATCTCCGCGCGGCTGTGACTCAGTGTGGAGGCTAAGCTGTGGCATGGCTGAGGTGGGTGTACTTACGACCTGAGGGAGACATGGGGTCGAGAAGGACTGGCATAGATGGTGTGTTTGGGAGGAGAGTTTAAGTCTTTTTGATGAGCGAGCTAGGTTTTGATGTAGATTGAAAAAAGGCATATTTTTATGTCTAATCTGTACGAAGACTAGTTTCTTAGTTTTGCATTGATGTAGATTGAAAAAAAAGGTTCAATTTATTCGAAGACTAGTTTTTGTTTTGCAGTGATGGAGATTGAACATATAATGCTTAATCTGTTTGAAGAAGACTAGTTTCCTAATTTAATGTAGATTGAAAAAATGCTTAATCTGAAGAATAGTAGTTTCTCAGTTCTGCATATGTATTTATAAATGATGAAGTGTTCAATATGAGGTTTGGATCAGAGTTTGCTGTCTAAGACTCACCTGGCTGTATGTTACTTGGGGATCGAGAAGGTAGACCGAGAATATCATCATAATAAGAATCACAGGGACAAAAGTCCTGGGGTTTCTGGGGATACTTCTCTGTATAATAGCTGTGGGCCACGTGTAGAGAAAAAATAAGCAAACTAATTACTAACATGGTAATGCAATTGTTTTCACAAGTTCCGTTACCTTATATAGTTAAAAACTGCGGTAAGTTCTTACAACCATTTTTTTTTACAAATCTTAATTACGCAAGTTCTTACAAGCATTTTTTTTTTTTCACAAATCGTAGTTACGTTAGTTTCTATAGTAAAAAAAGAAACACGTTTTTACGTTACATTAGTTTGTATAGTTCTAGATATATAAATTCCTTACTCAAATGCACATACAGATACACCCGCACATCGTCTCCGCTTCGTAACAAAACATCCCCTTCTTATCCACCCGCAGTCGAGAAGGATAGAGGGAGAGGTCAGTGGATGTTGCACTCGTGTTTATTTTTATCTCCAAATGTTATTTTGGTTCCGTGCGACGACGGAGCGACCCACGGGGATAACTGATTGGAATGAGGAAACGGCGTAGGAATATTGGACTTTTTCCTTCTTTTTATTCGTAAATCACCTCTGCCTCTTGTTTTTAATACTTTTCGCGCCTTTCCGTGGTCCTTTTCTTCAGTCCACAAGGCCATCGCAGCGGACAGTGAAAGAGGACGCGATAGCAACTTCTTTTCCTGCTTCTGTTGATGAGGAAAAACTATGGACATCCCAGTTACTTCAGGCGAGCATCTGCATCGTCACACTGTCTGATATTGCCACGAGCAGTAAGCGCACGTACAACACACACACACATATATATATATATATATATATATATATATATATATATACATACATACATACATATATCATATCTATCTATCTACATATACATAATATATATAGACATATGTATATATATATATATATATATATATATATATATATATATATATATATATATATATATATATATATGTATACATATGCATATATATATAGTCCGATGTCAACCATTCACTAAAGAAATTCACAAGAAACATGTCGATTTTTGTGATGTAATCTCGGGAAGTTAGGGTGATTTGTACTGGAATTGCCTCTTTTCACATCAACGCCCTAGTTATGAGCATAGCTAACATTGCAGAGTTCTGTGTATATTATGAAAGGTACAAGTGCAAGTTGTTCTTGTTCATATTGTTGTTATTACTGTTATTGCTATTACTGTTCATAACAGTCTTTTCACAACCACTTAAAATTCGGACCTGAAAATTCTTGTTATTAGTAGTTACGGTCTTCAGTCTTCCGTTCTTTGTACTTTCATGTTGTTTTTTTTTCCCTAATTATCCACGTTTCCCTTTTCTCTTGCCTTCCAACCAGAGACCGATTCCTGAACGGACAGGCCATCAGCGACTCGAACGAAAGCTGGAAGCAGAGAACGGGTCCGGAGGCGAACTGGAATTACTACTGGTACGGCTACTGGCTGCCGGCGCTGATTTCCTCGGGGCGCGTGGCTGCGTCGTCGGACTTCGAGGAAATGTTGCTGTATTCTTCATCTCTTAATAATGGAGGTCGAAAAAATAAAATAGGAACACATTCGTATTCAAAATGTCCCTTATGGACGTGATGGTCAAAAGTAAGAGTGATAATGAATGAAAATGGATATCATTCACGGATAATATAATTAAAAAGGAATATATGTATATTGATTGATGAATGTATGAATAATATATACATATACATATATGAGTATATGCAGTACATATGATACACATGTATATATACACACAAATGTATGTATATACATATATATTTATACGTGTGTGTGTAATCATAAGCACATGCACATAAACATATGTGCGTGTGTGTGTGTGTGGCATGTGTGTAAATATATGTAGAATACATATACATACACACATTCTCTCTCTCTCTCCCTATATATATAAATATATATATATATATATATATACATATATACATATACATACATACATACATACATATATATATTATATATATATATATATATTATATATATATATATATAATTACACACATATACAGAGTTCCTCACACCGACCACTATTTACATTCAACATTCAGCCAACGTCACCTGACTCCCCTCACTCCCAGCACCCAGACAGCCTGGATAAGGTAAAAAGAAAAATAAAAAAATCTCCATTGCCCTGACCTGCACCACCTCGCGGCCAAGGTGCTGCAGGTCAGGTACAATAAGCCTAAGCCCCTAGAACAGGACCTGCTAAAGAATCTCGTTGCTACCCCGCGACCTGCTGCGAATTTATTGTTTTAGTTATTAAAAAGGCCCTATCATACTAGCACTTTTTCGTTTCCGAATGAACTCCGGATGAAAATTATGTAAACAAACATGGCGCTACCGGAGTGAGGTCCCGGGAATCACACGAACATTCTCATACATATTACGTTATTTTAAAGAATTATGATGATGTATATTGTATATACGTATATTCTAAAATATTAGTTTATGTTTACATTCACTCATCATATCTAATTCATTAATATCACAAGATCAACACGGAAAGTAGTCAGACGGAAACGGTCGTAACCGTCTTGGTCTGAGAGGCGTTCCGTTTGCAGACGATCCTTGCGGAAAGCCTCAAATTCAGACGGAACCCCAGAAATTGACGGAAAAAGTGCTAGTGTGATAGGGCCTTCCCGATCCCCCCCTACTCCCCTTATTTTGGGGGTACATATGCTTGTTCCCAACTTTTGAAATCACCCCCTAATGGAAGGAAACGGCCATTTTTTGTACCCCCTATTCGCGGGCTTTTCTGAGGAAACGACCCCCCATTTGAAGGAAGGACTGGATTCTTACCCCCCTAATCGAAGGGAGTCTTGGATGCTTACCCCTAAAAGAAGGGTTAGTTGATACATCCCACCAGACCAATTCATTGGGCATGGGGGCTGTTAGCAGGGTTGGGTATCCTGTTGGGCTTCGTGATTATAAATTTTCTATTGGCTGTTAAAATCTGCCATTTGTAAAATGGTTAAATTTGTACTTGCAAATCTTACAAGTACCCTGCCCTGTGCTAGTCACAATGACTGAAATGGGAAGATGCTGGCCCGGGCGTCCGCGCTGCACACCTCGTAAATCGGGAGCCATGTTGTTCTTCGCCGAGACGACAGAGACCCGAGCGGAGAGTGGGAGTTGATCCGGAGTTGAGTGCCTTGAGCGAGTTGCTCGACTACATGGTGCATGATGGAGAGGGAAATGACACGATTACCAACATCCTGACGGACCCCATTATCTTTTCCGCTTCAGAAAGGACACGAAAAGCACGGCACAGAGCGTTGATAAACCGGGCTTAACTGGGTTGTTAAAAAGATGGCTTTCGAAAATCTTTCGGGGAAGGAAGGGATCCAGGGAAGGGAAACACCTTAAAATATATCCCTATTTTCCGTTTTGGAAGGGAAAATGGCGGTAAAACATCCCTTTTTACCGTTTTTTCGGGGATTTTTTTTTTCCGAAACAAGTGAAAATTAACCCCCTTTTCCCGAAAAATCGGGAACGCGCAATGGCATGCGGCCCCCTTGACTATCAGAGTGAGGGGGGATTGGGGAGGGCCTTGTCTGCCTTTTTGTGTATAGAATACATAGACACATACATACTGTCAACTTAAAGCGTATAAAATCATATTGATTCTGTTGTTACTGTCACTGTTATTGCTATCATTACTATTGTTGTTACTATTATGACTATTGTTGGTATCATTATCAACATTGTTATTGTTATTATCATCAATATCATTATATTTTTCATAATAGTTATATTGTCATTATTATTATCATTGTTGTAGTTCCTGTTATTAATAACACACGCACACAAACTCACTCACTCACTGTGTGTGTGTGTGTGTGTGTGTGTGTGTGTGTGTGTGTGTGTGTGTGTGTGTGTGTGTGTGTGTGTGTGTGTGTGTGTGTGTGTGTGTGTGTGTACCAACTAAATCGCCTGATCCACGTCCCCGCGAGCAGTCGCGTTGCCGCTATCAAGGTATATATAAGTACTTATATAGACCCTGGCCGCTACTGCACGTCTGCTCACATGAACAGGGAATGCGCCGAAAAAATGCAGAGTAGTCATCTCCCAAGGGAATGTGTCAATTGCAGATTTGACCATAATGCAACAAATTACTAAAGAAGCAACAGGCTGTTCTGCCTTCTCGCAACCCTGTCTCATTTCATCGCCTTAACGATGAGGCAGAATTCCCCCAGCTTGGGAGGATAAATGTGGCGAAGTATGCTGAACGAAAACAGTCGGTCTCTCCAGCCTTACTATGGGCTTCAGCTCAGTTTCAGTGCCAGTTTCAGCTCCTTCGGCTACTTCAGCATCGACTTCAGAACCTGTTTCGACATCTACAACATATGTTTCAGCACATACAGCAATTCCGGCTTCTGCACCTGCTTCATTGTCAGCGCCGACCACTACACCACAGGAAAGACAGGATCTACTGCAAATGTCGATGCAGAAGATATAACAAATTATGCTCATTATGCAGCAACAATTTGCTCAGCTACTACAGTACCATCATAAAAAAATGTGTTTTACGTGGTCTTTGGACAACGGTTCACCCCTCTAGAACCTATAGCAGAACTTGAAAATCATCAGCTGACAACTGATGGCCCACAGTGACTTTGAGTGTACCACAATGGAACGTTAAGATTTATGAAAACTTCATTTTTGTAATATCATAAATGTTTTTTTTCAGTTATTAGATAGTTAACTAAGGTGCAGCCCTTCATGCATATATATTTAATGTTTGACTTTGGCCCTCAAGTCAATGTAAGTTCACCCAGATTGGGTAGATTCTTGGACATCACTCCTTGGCTTTTTACAGGGCATGTAAACTGCACTGTAAATAAATTTTATCAAATCATCACGAATAATAATACTAATAATGATACTAATACTAATAATAATTCAAGGTTGGCTGTGACAGGCTCTTATGACATCAATCAAATTATGACGTCTGTTAATTGGGCTTCTGAACTACCCCCTGTGTGCGAAGACTGACCGGGGTTGCTATCCACCAGCAGTGCGTGGGAATCGAACGCAGGTGAGCAAGATTGCTGGACAAGAACGTTACCACGGCACGTGTGTATGAGAAAGAGAACGTGAGTGAGAGTGAGTGAGTGAGTGAGTGAGTGAGTGAGTGAGTGTGTGAGTGTGAGTGTGTGTGTGTGTGTGTGTGTGTGTGGTGTGTGTGTGTGTGTGTGTGTGTGTGTGTGTGTGAGAGAGAGAGAGAGAGAGAGAGAGAGAGAGAGAGAGAGAGAGAGAGAGAGAGAGAGAGAGAGAGAGAGAGAGAAGAGAGGTGTGTGTGTGCGTGAGTGTGAGTGAGTGTGAGTGTGAGTGTGAGTGTGGTGTGTGGTGTGTGTGTGTGTGTGTGTGTGTGTGTGTGTGTGTGTGTGTGTGTGTGTGTGTGTGTTGTGTGTCAGAGAGAGAGAGAGGGTAAGTGTGTGTGTGTGTGTGTCAGAAAGAGAGGGTAAGTGCGCGTGTGTCAGAGAGAGAGAGGGTGTGTGTGTGTGTGTGTGTGTGTGTGTGTGTGTGTGTGTGTGTGTGTGTGTGTGTGTGTGTGTGCGCGCGCGCGCGCGCGCGCCGGCGTATGTATGAATGTAATGCATGCACAGACATGTAATGTGAGAGAAATAAACAAATATAAAACTAATAATGAAAACTTACAAGATCAATAATAAAAGTATTATCTATATCAACAAATCAACATCACTGGCATATTTGAGGGTGTATTAATCTGCAATGTCTGGAAAAGGAGAGTTGATGAACAAATGACAAAGTTATTGATTCCAAGAACTGATCATCTCAAGGTTAAGATTCACGTGAATTATGTAAGTTACGTGCAATATTTCATTAACACGATTTGTTTCATTTAACGATACGGGGCATAATCGTAACTGCAGAAGGAAACATTTACTAATACGTGGCAGAAGCTTACAGTTGATATACTGTGGAGTCTATTTTAAGCATCCTGGGAACGTCGTTAATTTGAGTCTCAAAAGGAAAGGAGGAAATCCTGGGTAAGGTACGCACAGACACGTTTAATTTGACGTAGCACACGTGGAGAGCAGGAACGTCGTGAGTCAAAAGGAAAGGAGGAAATCCTGGGTAAGTATCCCGCAACAAAGTAGTATCGAGAATCTTGTTGGCCGTCACCACGTTTACACGTAAGTGGCAGCCACATCACGACTCACGGTGAGTAAACGAGAAAATTGAGTAAGATACTTTGAATTTTCATCTACAAACGCCAGGACATCATCCTTTTGTATAAGAGGTCCACATCAGACAGAGCATATTAGTGACTCTGACCTATATCCATCTTTCGGATTCCGCATGAGATAAATATAACAAAAATGAGTCGGCAGAAATTCAAGCAAACTCGCATTTAGTTTGAAAGCTTGCTTCACTCATCCATGATTTGAAAATATCATTTTGTAAATGAAATGGTAATAGAAACGGAAAAATCCGTGCCGCTTAGCCCGAAAATCGTCTTGTGGAAACGGATCCGTTTCTCAATCTGCTGAAAATCTTTCTGCAGACACGGGCAACCGGAACACTTGCTCGATTCGAAATCGATATTGTCGAACGCAGCCGAGTTCTACCGGTTAGGTTAGGTAAGGTTGGTTATGTTAAGTTTAGTTCGGATCGGGAACCGGATCCGTGCCTCCGGTCTGTTTGTTCAAATTTAAAGGTCTTTTTTGGCCCTTGAGCCAAAAAGTTTGCTCACCCCTGTATTAACTTCATACATTAGTACTGGCTTAGCTGAATGTTATCCAAAAGCTTGCGTCTTTTAGATATTCCATGCGAACGTCAGTTGACACAACTAGTAGCTTCTGTTTTGCAGTGTTTGTTGAACTCTTTGGAAAGCCGGGAAGTAAAGGCGCCCCTGATATTTACCTTCCTGCTCCCTCTTTCCGCAGACATGATGCTAGGGGTCTCCTGGCAGACGATTACTACGTTGTGTGGGGTCGCTCTTTTCGGCGGTCTGTTCGTCTGCATACACTTGACACTCACGGAGTCAGAATACCAATTCATGCACACTCAGCTGAGCGTAAGTAACTGTTTAAACTGTGTAAACTCGCTGCGATGGTTGCATGCAGTCCGTTAAGAATTTTCACTATCTGCACCAGATTCGGAAAACAACGGAGTCCGCTGTTGCCAAACCCGGGAGTGGAATGAAGCCAGACCTTCGCCATGTGTTTCAGGAACGTCGGGAACACTTGCTGGAAAGGTGTCGTTCCCTCAGGATAACCGATGCGCCACACGCTCAACTGTGGCACTCCCTTTTGACTGTTAAATCCCCCGGGCCTCTCGAGGTGTGCGTTCCTCCGAAGGTAATATCCCAGCTTAGCGGTAACTTTTGAAGGATTTTTCATATGTTTTCAACTCTGCGAACCTTTAAAAACTAAAGGGTCTTTTCTGGAAAAAGTTGGCAAATATTCTTAATATACTCTCTCTTTATTCTTATTATCATAATTCGAGATTACATCGTTGTGTTTGGTCTAACCCGCACTACGCCTCCAGGCCGGTTCGACATCATGGCGCAAATTAAGCCAACAATTAGCCGATCAAAACCACTCTAGCCTTCGCCCTGCCAGCGCCCTCTTGGTTAGACATCCTCTGTCCCGGTTAACTTCGGTCTATAGGTAAACCAGGTTCTGTATCTCTGATAATCATTATCATTATCCCCATTGTCATTACCAGGGTAATAATAATTTTCCGATAGTGTTTTAAGTCATCTACAGCATCTTGGCATCAAATATGCGATTACTGTAAATTTTCAAGGCCGGGGCCCAGGCCCCGGAGTCGTTACCCCCGGCTACACCCCCATCCCCTTGTCGGCGGTCCTGACTGTTACTACTATTACCTACTACTGCTACTGCTACTACTTCTGCTGCTTCTGTAACTATTACAACTACTACTACTGTAGCTGCTGCTACTACTACTATTACTTCTGCTACTTCTACTATTATTGCTATTACTACTACGATTACTACTACTACTAATACCTACTACTGCTGCTCTTACTACGACTACTTCTGCTCCTTCTACTACTATTACTACTACTTCTACCGTTACTTCTGCTGCGGCTACTGCTATTGCTGCTACTATTACTGCTATTTCTACTACTAATAATGATAATACCTACTAATGCTACTCTTACAACTACAACTTTTGTTGCTTCTACTACTATTACTGCAAATACTTCTGCTACTTCTACTACTATAGCTACCACTATTTTACTACTACTACTACTACCGCAACTTCTACAACTACTACAATTACTACAATAACTACTACAACAACTACGACAAGTACTACAACTACAACTATTACAATTACTACAACTACAATATCTACTACTACAACTACTATAACAACAGCAACTACTACAATTACTTCAACAACTACTACACCTACCACAGCAGCAACTACTATCACTACTACTGTTACTCTTACTACTATCTGAACTAAATATCGGCCTCCAAACCTCCCCTTAGTACAATGCCTACTCCTAGATTTATTGCTTAATCTAGGTCATACGCATTACATTATATTCCGAAATAATTTCGTTTTTGTTTTTTCATTACTTATAGATAGACAGACAGATAGATAGATAGCGAGATAGATTGATAGATAGGTTGGACAGGCCAGCTCATGCCAGCCCGGGTCAGGCCTGTGACTACCCGGATGTGAGGCTTGATAAGAGCTCTCGTGAGTGGCATGTTGGAGATACGGCCAGCGGTGTAAGGAAACAAGCCAACTGGCCTAATAGATAATTACTTGACGAAGTACTGCTCTTGCATTTGCGAGGTTAATTTTCAATTTTTGTGGACCAGAAATCCCTAATTGATGTCATATGCATCATTTACTTAATGTTGACGGCGATGATGATAACAAAACCAAAAGAATAACAAATATGATAATGATATGGATAATAACAATAACAATAATAATGAAATAATTCTTATCGTTATCATTATGAATTTGATGAAAATAATAATTATAATAATAAAGAAGACAATAATGAAATAGTGGAAAATTATAAGAATAATGGTAGTAATGACACCCACACCCTACATGAACTTGTGCACGACTGTGTGTTTAAATATGCTTGTTTTATTTGCGTCCATTTCCTGACATATTGATATGAAGCTGATAACCCCTTCTTCTCGTGGCCAGAGACAAGTACCTCGGCGGGGCACCGATAAGCAACTACAACCGAGACTGGCGTGAGCGAACGGGAACCACTCCGCCCTGGATGTTTTATTGGCAAACCTACTGGCTTCCTGCGCTGGTCTCGTCCGGACGCCTCACCCCGCCGAAGCGCTTTCTGGAGGGCCTGAAGGAGGGTGCCGCCTCTGATAAATCACTCAACCTGGGC